TTCCCATGATTTGTGCCACATATTTTAATTGTTTCCATAAAACACACAGATAATATTCCCTAACACTGGGTTCACTCTCATACTTGGCTTTAAATGTGAAAATTTAGAGAGGAATTACTTTAGGATTAGAGCAATGTTTATGTCAGGTTATAAACTTTTCTCATACTAGCTAGACTGAGGTCACGAAAGTGGAGAGTCACCAGTACGGTGAAGGAGAATGAGAGGAAAATATATACCTCTGCTTAAGTCTCTCCATGAAAGCAAAAATTTCCTTGAGCCAAAGATTTAATATGTAGCCAAGTTTTCATTTATACATAAATTTAGCAGAAAGATATTATCAGACATGGATGGCACAAAACAACTTATCATCCACATAAATTAAAAGAATTGAGAAAGACAGAATTAAAGGACTTTGATATGAACATTGAAAACAATTGAATTCAGAGTTATACTTTGTTAATAGCTTAAGAATATTTATAATTCTAATGCAAATACAGGTCTCTAATTACTGAATAACATTGAAAACACAAAAACTTTCTATTGAAAATCCAACATCTTCATAATTTGATTTGCAAAGTAATTTAGTTTATTAGGGTTCTACTAAGAACTATTTCTCTCTCTCTTTCATCCACCATCTATCTATATTAAGGGTTTTGACATTATACAGTTTTGGAAGCTACTTAAATATCTGTGTACAGTGCTGCTGTTTCATCTGATACTGGAGCTTAATGCCCAAGGGCAGGTATTTGGGAAGCAAAGATTGATGTAAAGTGAGAAACAGCCAGAACAGGTTTGAACAAATGTGTCACGGCAATTCAGTGTGGAAAAGAATAAATTTTTCAGCATGGTTCTGGAGTGAATGGATATCTTTATGCATAAAATAAACTTACATCCTTACTTTATACCATGAACAAGAATTAACTCGATATGGAATGTACAGAAAAATTATAAAAACATAAGAGATAAATCTTCTGGGAAAGCACAAAGGAGAAAATCTTCATGACTTTGCTTAGGCACAGAGTTCTTAAAGGTGGCAACAAAGGCAAACCACACAAGAAAAAAATGATAATAAATTGGATCTGATAAAGATTAGAAATATTTGTGTTTCCACAGATACTCTGGTTATGGACTAGAGAAAATATTTGCAATCATATATTCAATAAAGGACTTGTGTTGTGGTTTGGATATTAGGTATCTTCCAAAAGCTCATTTATAAGACAATGCAAGAAGGTTTAGAGGTGAATGATTGAGTCATGACAGCTTTAACCCAAACAATGAATTAATCCCATAACAGAGATTAACTGAGCGGTAACTGAAAGTGGGTAGGTCATGAATGGACAAGATGGGTCTCTGGGAGTGCCTTGTTGTGATGTCCTGATACTCTTTTCTCTGCCATACCTTTGTGCCGTGATGTTCTGCCTCACCTTGAGTCCCAAGGAATGGAGCTTGCCTTCTATGGACTGAGACCTCTGAAACCTTGAGCCCCCAAATTAACTAATTAACTAATTAATTAATTAACTAATTGACTAATTTTTCTACTCTAATTATTCTTATCAGGTCTTTTGGTCACAGCCCCAAAAAAGCTGACCACAAAAACTAGGTTGAACTGAAACCAGTTATTTAGTGCCTCTGATCTTGATGGTGTAGGTGTTTAGGAGAAACCAGGGACCTTGATTGCAGAGCTAAAAACATGTACACTTGTCCAGGTGTCAGAGAAACTGAAGGAGGATCTGCTGTAATTTTTTATGACTTCAGTTCTTATGTTCAAGTCTTTCATCTATTTCAAGTTGGTTCTTGTATTTTGTTTTAAGATAAGTATTTATTTTCATTATTCTACCTGTGAACATCCATTTTCCCAGAACTACTTATTGATTGCTTTCACTATTTGCAGTCTTTTATGGTTCCAAGTAAATTTTAGGATTTTTTTTCTCTTTCTATAAATAATGTCATTGGGATTTTGATAGGGATTTTATTGAATTTATATATCACTTCAGTAGCATAGACATAATATCAAAATTAATTCTTCTAATCCATAAGCACAGGGTATTTTTCCATTTATCTGTATCTTTTAAATTTTCTTTATTAATGATTTTTAATTTGCAAATCCTTCACCACTGGTTAAATGTTTTCCTAGATATACTATTTTTTCATAGCTTTAAATAAGATCTTCTTTATTTCTAGGATTATTTATAATTAGCATTCAGAAATGCTACAAATTTTGTGTGTTTGTTTTATGTTCTAAAACTGAATTAAATTTATTTATTAGT